TCGCAAAAAGGGGGGAAGCCGGTTGCTCTGAAACAATTGGAAGAGAGGAATCTTGAACTTAGATTATGGGGATATTTACTGGAGAGGAAATGATTCAAGGGAGTGAATAGAAAAATCTTAATAAAGAATGAAGTAGAATTGAGCAGTAAAGGAAGAAATTAGTACCAGGAGAAGGTGGATCGAGGGGCATTGGTGCGGGAGAGGAATGTTGTAAACACAAAGATTAGAAAAGAAAACGTGTGAAAAAGTTGAATAAAAATATACATATAAAATTTAAGAGTTGTACCTCAAGAATAGGCGTTGATGACTGAAGTAAAGAATCGACATTCATCGATATCGTCGCCGATGGATGGTCCTGAAAATATCGAGATTTGGAATCATGTTATGGGCCTTGTCGAAATCTAGGTATATAAAATTTGTGTAAAAAGGGGTCTTACGTGACTTGAACGAGTGGTGGGTGTTGTTTGGCCCGTTTTGCTGACCGTGTTAGAGTCCGTCGATAACGAATTTATAGCAGGTGGTTGAACGGATCGAGGAATCTTCTTTAATTTTTGTTTCTGAAATTAGAAGTGAATCAGCTATAGACAAAGAAAGTCGAATAAATAATATAATAAGGAATCAAAAAGAAACCTTCGATTTTTTCGAAGATGAAGAAATGGTGGTAGAATGCTTGCGCTTCTGAGTGGGGGCCGATGAATCTGACTCGTCCGAAGACTCCTAGTCTTTCTCGGAGGCGACGGTTTTATGAGGTTTCGAAACTGTCGGAAAAAGAAAAACAGTTAGCTTGCAATGTGAAGAAAATTAAAAATACTCCTAAAAGAGGCATTAACATCTCACCAAAGGGTGATGGAGTTAAAATCTTGACTCGGTCGATATGGACGAGCCAGGGAGGAAGAAGATTTTGAGGAAGGTTTAGGTAAGGGAAATAGGACAGTTTCGATATCAAAATCTCTTTATTCTTGGGTTTGGGAGAAAGAATTTCTTTTCAGGATCTTAACTCTCGAACCCATTTAGGATGAGTTAAAGGTTTGGCGAGTCCAAAAGGAGCTGAAGGGAAAGTAGGAAGATGGTTGGGACAATACATTTCAAATGGGGTTTTGCCTCAAGGAATGATTATTTTGTAGTTTGATCGATTAGTGTCTGTTTTATTGACTAGGGAAATAATATCATAAAAGGTCTCTTCTAATTTCAATGGGTTGTAGCATGCTCGATAAAAATTTTCGAATCGAGATATTTGGAGATAGTGAGAGTATGTACCTTTCTTCGCCTTCGATTTGTCCTGCAACACGAGAGAAGGACGAGCGGTCAATTTTGATTGGACTATGTCAAAATTAGAATGAATATTTGAAAATCAATCGGTCCACCACTGAGAAAAACCAAGAGTAGATAAATAATTCTATTCAAAAGTATAAGGGTAAAAATGCATCGAATTTTTTGGAAACAGTTTGGCAAACTCCCGTCCAACAGTTGATTCACTTAATTTGGACCTTGAGGAGGTATCGAGGGGGGAAAAGGGTAAAGCTTGACTCAAACCAAACTACCGCGAGAAGAGCTGAGGATAATAAGTGACGAGTTGAAGATCCTTCGATTGAAAACCCGATACCAGAACATCTTGGGTTAGGTAATTGCTCCACACTTCGACTAATTCTGATTGTAACACGGGAGTAAGAGCAGGGAATTTTGACTTAAACCATGCTGGCCCTCGAAGCTTGTCACTGACTTTCCCTTGATATACGGTGAAGGGGGCCAAGTTTGACTCAAAATGAAATCGAGTCAACAAAAATCTTAGGTAATTGCGATAACTAATTTCGTCGAATTTGTGGTGAGGGTGTCAAGAGGACAATCGAGCACCTTCCAAATTTAAATTTGGGGGAATGTTGGACGTTGGAGCGAGGATACTTTCAAAATTTGAGGTAAGCCATAATTGAATGAACCAAATGGGACCTGAAAAATTCCCTGAGGCCTTCGGGGTATTCAAAATATCGACGACTTCATCCAAAGAAGTATAAACATGGGCCAATAACAACTTTTCTAAACAAATCCGTGGTTGGCCAGTGTGGAGGAGGTAGGCAAGATTATAAAGGTGAGACGAAATCTGGATGGATCGAGGGCAAAAGACGTGGGTGCAAAGCCAATATACTAGGAAGGCCACGTGCTCCTCATCAGAAACAACTACTGTTTGATAGTCAACAAAATGTTTTTTGAGAAAATGTCCATAGGCCTTCGATTCCCAATCGATTTTGGACCTTAAGGAATTATCCGAAGAGAAAGCACCCTTATAGTATTTCTCCCCTGTGGGCTTTAATCTAGTAATTGCAGCAATTTCAAAAAGGGTGGGTGAAAGGGGACCACAAGGAAGTTCCAGTGCATGCAAATCCTTATTCCACAGATGGACAGCAGATAAAAACATAGTCATATCTAAAAACGATAGATCACATCGAGACAGATGTAGGAAATCGAAGATCCCCACATCTCTCCAATGGTTCCCAAACTTAGTTTTAACTCGGTCAAACCACCTAATGTACAAGGGTTTTTTGTGGGGAGGGCCTGTTCGATATATTTTGGAGACAATATTTAGAAAATTAATTCGAACCTCGGACTGATGAATAAGAGCCTTACTCTCTGAAGAAAGGTTGAGGGAAGAAGAAAATGATCCGCCACAGTAACGGATAGGACCACCAAATGCATAACTTACATTATCAGCAACATAAGGGATAAGTACCTGGGTCTCGGCAATCCTTTGTGAGGCTTCTTCCATCAAAGGAACCGGAGCAAACTTCTTCCCATTAATCTCTATTAGGTTGGAGGTCACCGAGGAAAGTGGTGGGGCGGAGAAATCAGAAGATTTGGAGGTCGCCATTTCAGTCGGTAGAGAAAAGGAAGACGAAAGGTTGAAGATGAGGAAGTGCAAACGAAGGAGAAGTGAGGTTCATAGTAAAAAACAAGGGTAAAAATTGATAAAAGTATTTAAAGAAGCCGAGTAGGGTATGTGAAACGGCGAATTTGAAGCGGGTAATTAAAAGCGTGGCAGCAGAGGTGATGTGATAGGTGAAATAAAGTAGAAAAATCCTAAAACCCCAGAAACCCTAAAACCCCGGAAACCCTAAAACCCCGGAAACCCTCAAAATCCTAAGGAGTTATTTCGAGTTTCAAGAACGATTAAGGGCGGGAGTCATATTTGGAAGAATATAAAAATTGATATTCTTCCAGGGGGGCATTTGTTAGTAAAAGAAAAATCGATACCAAGATCGAAAAAACAAGAGAGAGAAATATCGAAGATCATATGGTTGGTTGGAAATTTGATAAAACAGTTAGGAAAAACTCGGTAACCACAAGATGAAAACACATATAAATCGAGAATCAGAATCGAGAATCGAGAATCGAAGGAAGAATATTTGATGTCTATGGTTGAAGAAAATCAAGAAATTAGAATCTGGTGTAATGTTAAGATTAAGGGGAATCAAAATAATTCAAAACACTCGATATCTGAAATCGAGATCGAGGGAACGGTTGACGCGCACATGGAATATGGGAAGTGGTTTCTAAACCGTGGCAGAGATCGAGGATCAAGGGAGCAGTTCTCTCATGCATGAGAACGTGGAATGCAGTTTCCTAAACCGTGGAACTAAGGGACGTGCACGTTGGATCGTGGTGACAGTTTTATTAACTGCTTTAGGAGGTTACTTGAAGGGTGCTCTAGCGAAGACTTGAGGAAGAAAGAAAAATTGGCAGAGACAATAGAAGCGCAAGTGAACAGTCTACAGGAGAACGACGCATCATGAAGTTTCTAATGCTCTGAATTTTCGTTTTCATTTATTATCTTTATCGTTTTCTCTACTTTCCCTGGTAATTTACTTTCATTGCAATTTACGTCTATCAAATTTTAAGTTTTGTCATTTTGATTCCTTGTCATTTACTTTTATCCAAGTTAAGGTTATGCGTTTAAGATCCTCGCTATTTACATTTTCTACAATTTCGATTTCTTGCTATTTACATTTCCGCAATTTCGATTCCTTGCCATTTACATTAAATACAAATTCGAGATTTACGTATTTTATATTTCTCTGTAATTTAATATTCTACATTATTTTTCGATTCGACGCTTTTACTGCTTTCTTTACTTCGCGTTTCTTAATAAAAAAACACCAAAAAGTAGTACTTTCTACACTCTAGGTCGTGTTGTTTGCATTTTTTTGAGATTTTGGGATTCTCGCTTCTCATGCATTTTTCGATTGAAAACTGTTTGCTAGCTTAAATAAAAAGAATCTACATGGTTGAAATTTGATTAGAACTTAGGTCTCGATAAACCGAAATCGATCAAATTTTCACCAGAAACAGTAATAAATAAATTTCAATAGATTTCACACGACTTTTTAGTCTGTATGACTTATAAATATACAACTATCAAACAATCTTTCTCAAACCTTGAAATTTTTTCTTTTATGTTGACATATTTTCTTTCTTGCGTCGTATTTTAAGTTCTCAAATATTTGACAATTTGCTTCACGAGGAGTGTTGTCACAATGAATTTCCAATTAATTAACGACTATATTTATATTTAGTACTACCATAGAACAAAAACCATGACTCTGATCATTTTGTACAAACCGAGAGAAACATGTTACTTCGTAGATAACTAATACAAAAAGGACATAAAGTTAGAACCAACTATTAAAAGATTGAAAAATGGTAGAGATTCTTTTTTTAAAATCTTACATATTTTTCTCATTGACTTTTGTAATTTTAATGAGGATTGTAATTTTGAATATTCTTTTAAAGCCCTATAATTCTTTAAAATCTTATTAATCCAAAAAGGTTTTAAAATCTTTTAAATTCTTACCGAGTAAATCCATTAAAATCCAAACAAAATCTTGATCAAAGTCTTTAAAAATTTATAAGTCATAAATTCCTACCCGTCTTTAGAATCCATTAGATATTTTTTATATGAAATTTGTATTTTAAAATCCCAATCCAATACCTCTCTATAGACTTTAGTGATTCTACCTTTTAAAATTTGATGTGTGTTTATAACTGTAACAACTGAACACAATACCTGTTGCAACTGGAATTACTAGATCAGCTTTGTCAGGTACGCGTCCAACGGTCACCTCATTCTACATAATTCAAAATCCAGCTAGTTATTCTGAAGCATATTAGCCACATAATATTATTGATGATAAAATTACTTACAGAAACGATTTCATATGCACCTGGCATCTCAACCTTGAAGCCTATATGCCTTGTATCACCATCTCCTATCAAATAAGATTCATCATGTTTCCAATGAGATAGATAACCTCATTAACAAAAGGGATAACTGAAAAAGTTCTATTTAAATGTCCATGTGGAACACTATTGAGTTTGATGCATGGATAAACATGGTGGTCACCTTAAAGTCTAATACTAACTTGAAAAATTAGATTTAAAGTCTAAATAAACTCTGTAAAAAGTGAGGATTGTGCTAGTTACAAACTGTAATTTGGCATTATCTCTAATTTATATGAACTTAAGTTCTTCCCAATAGTTTTGGCGTCATATTATACAGTAAGACACCACTTTGTCAAGCACATGACCTCTTTAACCCCGTGACAACTCATAAAACTACTGCACCGCCTGGGACTATCTTTCTACCTTCTAATATACCTTCTTCCATATGTAGGGTCCATAACTAATCTGATCTAGTATTGGGACTCTTACATTAAACCTCAAAAACTCCTATTTGGTACTATCTTAAGTTACACTATTAATTGCTTATTTAATTCTTAACTATCACTTATTCTTGAAAAGTTTGTGATCAAAGAAGAAGCAAAGATTGTTATTGCCTACAAGACAAGAAAGTAGTTTTTCTCTGGCAAAAGATTGATGGACTATCTCTGGCTTCAACCAGTCCATTGAACCTAAAACATTCAGGCATATTAAATCAAACCAGGAAAAGAGTGTAAGGAGTGAAAGTTCCACAACATAGTACTGACTTGGAGAAAAAAATGCAGATTGTTCTCTACGATAAGTCACATTTTTAGGTGTCTATGACCTATTACACAAAGTGATAGAGCATTAGAAGGAGATGTAAATCAAAGGAAGTAAGCTAGGGGGATGAAATCAAGGAAAGGTTTTTATTAGAGATAGAAGGTGCTTCTTAAGCTACAAATTAAATTTACTCCGTAAGACAAATGATGATGCTATACGATAATGAATGGTGAGAAAAGCAATGATGATGCTTTATAATAAGGGTGGGTTGCAGTGATGATGTGTTGTTTTGAATTAGTGCTTAAACCGGAAAAAATAGGAATCAAGCTTGGTGGATGAAAAGGAAGAATGCTTAGATGCTAGTAGTATTTGCTGAATATACAAGAGTATGATGCCTGAAGATTTTAATGATGATTCAAAAATAAAAGACTTAAAGACTTGAAGACTATTAATCATTTGTATTTATTTGTAATAACTCTGTTTTGTCTTTTTTAGTATGTAAAAATAGAGTCCAAGATAGTCAGCCCATAGTTCATCATCTGAAAGTTCATTTTTATCAAAATCACTCTGTGATAATCGATTATCACCCAGGATAATCGACTATCCTGTTTGAAACTTGTTTTTGGAAAACTTGCTGAAATAATCGATTATATGGGTTGATAATCGATTATTCCACTTGATTTTGGGTTCTGAAAGTTCTGTGATAATCGATTATCTCAGAAGATAATCGATTATCCTAGTCCAAAAATACTCCTCTACGAAAATGGTTCTGTGATAATCAATTATCACTTAGGATAATCGATTATCTACGTCTGTTATGATTTTGAAATTCGACTTTGGACCTATTTTCGATGCATCCATTCCCTATTTCAAAAATCCTATTCCCCATACCCTAAATCTCTCTATTTAAGGTTCTTTATAGCTCTTTGAATATACAACATTTTTCATACAAAAGTTAAAAATTGTGATTGCTAGAGAACTTTGTGTATGGAAGAAAAAGGGGGTTTTGAAACATAGTGTGGGCTAGAAGCGATAAGAATCACTGAGTGGGTTTCTTGGTGGATTGTGTGTTGTGTCATCTCTAGGAAAAGCTGTCGTCATCCTTTGTGGATTCAAAGGAGGTGTTCATCTTTTGTGTGCTCAAGAGAGGTATTTTCTAGTCCTTATCTTTTGTAATTTGTAATATGTTTTAAACTGTGATTATATAGTGACAACGTTAATCCTCTTTTAGAGTGATTAACAACTGAACGTAGGATTTTTTGATCCAAACCAAGTATAAATTACGTGTGTAATATTCTTTCCCTTATCTTTTTACTTTACAAGCATTTTAATCGGTGAAATTTGGAAAAAAAATTTAAAACCCTAATTTTTATAAGAAACCAATTCACTCCCTCTTGATTTTTGTCCCTACACACAAACATTCCGTTGCACGATACCAAGAGTATTTATCATAAAGAGGTGCCTTTTAAGCTACAAGACTATACCGCCTCTCAAAGTCCCTATAGCTTTTGGCTTCACTTTTATTAGACCTTGGCTGGTTAGTTTGCTTATGGCTATTAGTTGTTTGATGCTTTCTCATCTACCTTGCACATAGGGTAGGTTTGGACAAATTTTTCCATAAACACTTATAGTAAATGAAACTAAATAAGTAGAAAAAAAAAATTAAATTGGTTCCTCCATAAACTACAATTAACTTATACATAAATTAAATATAAAAATTGAAAGTTATGTGGAGATCTTCTATAAATTAATTAGTGCATAAATTAGTTTTTCTCATAGGATACTAATTAATTTCAATTTTTCTTATTATTCCTTTTCAGAAATGCTTATGGAAAAGTTGGTCCAAACATTAATTCTTACTTTTTGTGAGTGATAATACATAATTCTCTTTTCTGGAATAAATGTTTTCTCTTTGATTTTGTTTTTGTTTTTGCTTAGATGAGAAAGCAGCAAGCAACTAACCGAAGACCATTTTCTACCAAACTAACCAACCATGGTCAAACAACAAAAATATGAAAAACTATAATAACTTTCGGAACTGCACAACCATATGACTAATGATGCTATATAGTATGAAATACTGGACAATGAATGGCCTATACTAGCATAAAATAAAGGTTGCCAATTGCAATGAGGAATATTGAGTAGTCAATCAGGGAAAGATAAGATTATGAATGAATTTATGAAAGAAAAAGGTTTATTGGTATCTTCAATGGAGAAGAGAGTAAAATTGAGCCTAAGATAGTTTGACCATGAGAGAAAAATATCAACAGAACCCAGTTGAAAGAGTTGATGAAACAGAGGATAGCCTAATAGTTAGAGAAAGATGTGGAGGTGGACCAAAAAAGATTGAAAATGAAACTGATGAAAAGGCTCTATAATTAAATGGATTTTTTGAAGAATTGGTTTAGCACAACACAATATTTAGCCAACGTCACCTAGTGGGAAATGCTTTGCTGTTGTTGTAACTTCCAGTTTCCAAACTACTGTCTCAATTTTATGAAGAAAAATCATACATGACTGATGGTTACAAATACCATTTTCCAACCATCCATTTATATTTTAACAGGTTTCAGGTCAGGTTAGGACAATATTACTCTCTAACGAGTTAAATAAACTGAAACAAGCAGAAAACCCTCCCATACAAATAAAATTTTGGCCCAATGTCTTTTAAATAATTTAATGTCTTCAAAATTTCCAATGTTACCATTATAAAAAATGTGGCACAACTATTTGCTATGCAAATCTCAAATTTGTTCTATCAAGGAATTCCAAATTTTCCACTAGGATTCTCAATCATCCATAGGGTGTGTAACCTTCACAATTTTTTTTTTTTTTTTTACGAATTCTATTACTACTCCAATATTAAATAACCTGAAAGAAACATAAAGAATTCAAAGATGAAATTCTAACATGAATTCCCTTGTTCCACCTTCAAGCCTTTAGGAATTAGTAACAGGTGCTCACCAGTCATCAAGGGTGGGTGAGTTCAAGTTACATCCTAAATTGGGTATATATTTCTAAACATCTCATAACATAGGATACACTCTCCTATGATCCTATCTGCATAACCCCCAGCACACTCTATGCAAGATTTTCAGTTAGGGATTACTTTAAGGCTCTAGGTTCTAGAGAGGGTTTTATTGAGGAGGAAGATGGGACTGACCCACTGCTTCAAGAAGCCATCTTTCTGCATCATTGGCATATGTTGTCGTTGTTGTTGTTGGCGTTACAGCCTCTGAGGCATGTACCACTCCCAGGTTCTGCTTTTCTTTTGCTTTGGATCTAACACCACCTTGTGGCTGCAACAGAAAGCACTTGGGCAAATGATTGTGGGTTACTAAACGGAAAGCAACTGAGGTGGGTTTGGAGTAAAGCAAGACTGGTGAATTCCACAAAGTTTGAGACTTTGGAAATTTCGCATGGGAGAGAGACGGTACAAATATGCTTTCCATTTGAGGTAGAGTTGTGAGACGGTGTGAGTGATAGAAAATAAGCTGATGTTTGCTGATATGGGGCTTGGAAGATAGTGTAGATTTTTTTTTTTTTTCAGGAATAATATTTTTTAAGAAGAAATTTCTCAAGTAGATGTTGGATCATTTTATTTATCATCGAAATAGACTTTGTTTTCCGATTTTTAATAATCTTATTTCGACCGACTCATGTAGAAGATATCGGAAATTTTCGTTCCTGAATTTTGAATTTGAATTATTATATAAATTATTATATTGAATATAAATTAAAGGTATCATTTTATATTAAATCACTAACTTTTATTTGTAAAGTAAATTAAAAATGGTAAGTAAATTATTTATTATGTTAAAATTTTAAAAAAGAAAAAATTATATTATAAAAATACTAATATAAGTAAATAGAATTTGAATAAGTTTTTTAAATTATTTAGATTTATTTAATATTTTTAAATTATTATTAATATATTTATATTAATTTGTTTCATGTAAATATTAGAATAATAAAAATGATTGTTCCGTTTAGGAATGAAAGTGTCATGGTCTTATGTCCACTTTCAATTTCTAAATTAAAGTATTATTCGTTTTGAAACTCTCATAATTTTATCCTTAAAAATCGAGTTAGGTCTACACTCACATACGCTCGATTTTAAGTAAAGGATGAGCTCAGAGTACTAAAAAGTTAGGAGTAATATGAAATTATTTTGTGTTAATGGTAGTGAGTTGGTAGACAAGTCACATTCATTTTGGAGACCTTATAAACAAATTCATCTTTAAATGCCAAGGTGACCTAGCTAGATGGCCATATTTCCCACTTCAATGTTTTGGTACTCTCACAATTTTGTCCTTCCAAATCGAGTTGGGCTAGGTGTTACAGGATTTTATTAAACTACACTCACATATGCTCATTCTCAAGTAAAGGATGAGCTCATATAACTAAAAAAATCAGGAGTAATATGGAATTACTTTGTGTTAATGGTGAGTTGACAGACACCTCATATTCATTTTGGGAGACCTTAGAAGTGAAATCATCTTTGAATGCCAAGGTGACCTAGCTAGATGGCCATATTTCCCACTTAAATGTTGAAAGTGTTACATGGCATGTTAAATATGCAAGGTTAGATGCTACCGAGAAGGAGAAGAGGGTCATGTCATAACACATATTTTGTACATATATTTATAACTTTATTATAAAGTGAATGTACTTTTCATATTCTTTATTTTCAGTTTTAAACTCATTTTCATTTAGTATTAATAAATTGGATTCAATGTACATATTTATTTTAATTTTATATTTTCAACTCATCTAACCTTTACTCAGGTTTTGACCATAATATTTTTTTGTAAATATTATTTTTGGTTGATTCAAGTTGCATTAGATTTCCATGACCTTCAAATGGATAAATAGTTTTCTAGATTTGTAAATTTTTTATTTTCTACCATTTTTAGAAGTTGGGACAGATTTGTTGAAATTGTATAAAGAATTCATGCAAATTAGATTTTCTTTATATTAGCTTAATTTTTGTAATTGGACTTGTGGACCTAATCAGAGTTCACGTTTAAGCTCGTGTTTGCTTCAGACTCAAGAGCATGTAAATATCCTAAATGTACTTTAAATTAATATCCAAAAATTATTTTATTATATTTTCAATTTAGGAAGTATCTCTACTTTTTCTTCTTTTTCTCTTCTCTCTCATTTTCGTTGTGACTTTTTTTATTCTTCTCTTTTCTTCTAGCCCGATATGTTCTTATGTTCTTCATTCATAGAAAACTAAATCTTGAAGATTAATTCACATAATCAAGATTAAATAAGTTGAATTGAGGTTTGTACCAATTGTTTCTCGCTCTAAATTGGTTCTTATTTTCTGTGATTTCAATTTTGAACTTTTTTATATCAAGTTGTGATTTTGATTTTAGAAATCAAATTAGGAATCTATTAAATCTTGATTTGATAATTAAGTATGAATTATATTGAATGATATTGAGATTTAATTTGTATAGGTTTATTTGATTAATTGAATCCATTAATTGTTCAATTTTGAATTGAAATTTTTATAGAACTATGATAAGAGGATTGTTTGTTATGAAATCTTTTTGTTTTTTATTTAGATTTTTGTTTTATTTTTCAATCCTTGCTTTACATTTTCCAATCCTCAAATCTAACTTATATAGATAGAAAAAGAAAAATTGAATACATTGGAAAATGTGTCCTTGAGAAGAATGATCAAGGTTTGTGCTCTATATTATAAAATCTTTAGAGAAAACTTAGAATCTTTGAGGTGGAGTCAGAGCTAAAGGAGAAGGTCGAGAAAGAGATGTTTCAGATAAAACAATATGTCGTTCGAGAACACATAAAGGGTTTTAATAAAGTTGTTTAACAAATACATCATTTTATTGGACAAGGTGTTTCATTGAAGGAGACAAAGTTTGATGTGGAGTATGATGTCTGGAAAGGTGAACTCATTCATGTGGATGATCTGTCGAATGACGATGATGATTCAGAGAGGCAAAAGACTCCTTTTGATGCTCTCGAGTAGTTATTTAGATTAATTATGTTGCCATTTTTTTTCTTCACAAAAATCACATTGGACAACTAAGTCGTATAATGAACTTCCCAGATGAAATTCACATCTAATAGCTTTTGAACTTCCTCTGGGGTGGCTTGCGTCCTCTCTCCTCCCATCTTATGCTTCTTTTGAGATATTGGCCTTGTTTCTCAATAGATAGAGAGATATTACTTGTGGATCGTGAATCGACATATCTACTACCTCCCATACGAAAAGGTTTGGTGATTTTAACAATATCTCTTGCACATGGTGGTTATCTTCTTTGGACAAGGTTAAGCCTATCTTGGTATTTTTTCCCTTTCTTGCCAATTTGGAAGGGGATTGTTTCCTCTACTCAGGCTTTAATATTTATTCTTGGATCAAGGTCTACCAAGGATACTATTTTACCTTTTCATGTTGTAAGAGTTCCAGTGGATGTTGCCAATGTCACTTTTAAACTCTCCACATAACATTCTACTGTAGTTTTTTTGTCATCATGAATTGTGACTATCATCCTAAAAATTAATGGAAACTTCGTAGCCAAATGAAGGGTGGACATGATGCCACCAAGAGCATCCAATGACTATTAGGTATTGAATCATAATCGTTCGGTGACCCGCAACTGCTCCAAATTTGGTGTGTGAATTTATGTATCTCTTTATGTTGACTCCTTCTATTGAGAATCCCACGATTTGGTCATCATATGGTTAGATCAAATCTTTAGACAACTCCAAGCATTTGAAAATTTTCCAATACAATATATTTGCAGAGTTATCTTGGTCTACCAACATTTTCATAACTAGGAAGGTGGCTACTGCCACTATTATGACTATGGGGTCATCTTATTCCGGGTCAATTGCTAGAATCACTACAAGAAAATCGCGTATTACCGAACGGATATTTACCGCGTATATAAATATATAAATATATAAATATAATTTATTTGTAAATTATTATCAAAAAATTCTGGTAGCTTAGTGGTTGGAGTATCAACCTCTAACTCTAAAGTACTTGGGTTCGAATCCTGCCAATGACAATTCTCTTAATCGATAATAATTGAAGGTTATAAAAATGTAATGGGGGAAAATAATTACTAATAAATAATAAAAATATAAAGGGAAGAGTTTCTATAAAATAAATAAGCTATATAAGTAAAATATTTAATAAATAATAAAAATATTACAGACGGATTCTGTCCAGTCGATAATTACTGACGGACTATTAAATTTGTCGGTAAATGGATATTATTGACGGATTTTTGTTATTACCGACGGATTTTGACCATCGGTAATATTAAAATTTCTTGTAGTGAATGTCATTGAAATTTATTGTTGACATCCCTCCTTTTCAATTAGGTGGTGATTGTGTTGACCAGTTGCACCACTCTTAGGTGTTTCTTTCTTATTATGTTTGATGGTCTCATCCGACTATTGTGTTTATAACTTCTCTAAGGGTTGGTTGTTTCAATTTTCCATATCTTCCTGTGAGGCATTATCATGTGACAATACCCTTTTGATGTCATCCTCCCTTCTTGGAGGATACATTCTCTCATTTTTTCCATTATGCTTCATAAATTTGTGCAATTATTCGACTGGAATGAGTTAATCAATTTTGTCCCTAAGAGTTATGAAATCATCAGTTATGTGACCATTGTTGTAGTGATAGCGACAGTGTTTGTTACGATTCACGTTGGTCGGGATGGGGACCTTTATAAGAGTTGGTATCAAGTTCGCATTTAATTCTTTTCTAAAATTTTGGTCTTATTTGTGTTCAATGGAGTGTATTGGGCAAAACATGGGTCATACGGTTCTTTGGATCTAAAAGGGTATTGGGGGAAAATAATTACTAATAAATAATAAAAATATAAAGGGAAGAGTTTCTATAAAATAAATAAGCTATATAAGTAAAATATTTAATAAATAATAAAAATATTACCGACGAATTCCCGTCCATCGGTAATTATTGACGGACTATTAAATTCGTCGGTAAATGGATATTATTGACGGATTTTTGTTATTACCGAACGGATTTTGACCATCGGTAATATTAAAATTTCTTGTAGTGAATGTCATTGAAATTTATTGTTGACATCCCTCCTTTTCAATTAGGTGGTGATTGTGTTGACCAGTTGCACCACTCTTAGGTGTTTCTTTCTTATTATGTTTGATGGTCTCATCTGACTATTGTGTTTATAACTTCTCTAAGGGTTGGTTGTTTCAATTTTCCATATCTTCCTGTGGGGCATTATCATGTGACAATACCCTTTTGATGTCATCCTCCCTTCTTGGAGGATACATTCTCTCATTTTTTCCATTATGCTTCATAAATTTGTGCAATTATTCGACTAGAATGAGTTAATCAATTTTGTCCCTAAGAGTTATGAAATCATCAGTTATGTGACCATTGTTGTAGTGATAGCGACAGTGTTTGTTACGATTC